ATGAGAAATGATCTATAGGGATCGTTAGACCACCATCGAGTCACATCGTTCGGCCACAGACCGAATGAGTTTTCCGTTGTCGGGGAAACTTTTCTCTGAGACTGATCTGATTCACTTATTCGTGACGTGTAGTGAAGTGGAATAGTGCCCGACACTCCCGGTATGTAAGTCGTCTCTTCAGCAGATTGGTTAACCGTGGGAGACAAGGATGAATAGTGATATGTACCAAACGAAGCAGATAATGAGAGTTGATCTGTCGGGTTATAGATAGGATTGTCCATATTGCTCATTGTGAGGGGGGAATGATTCTGGGAAGTTGAGGAATTAATCAGATGCGGTTGAGATTGTTGTTGTTGTTGTTGTTGTTGTTGTTGTTGTTGTTGTTGTTGTTGTTCAAGAGGAGAGTGACCTTGATTGACTAACCATTGTTTCTCATGCGGACTGCATGCGATTGGGGATTGCAGTTGTCTTTGATGATGTTGCTGATTATCCATCGAATAGGTCCCCAAGAAGTTTGTCGTCCCGGATTGAAACAAATTCGGACTGGTATGTGGTGACTGTTCCGATTCCCGATCACGCTCATCTCTGTTCAATCCAAATGCATTATTCATTGGCAAATGAGATGTGGTCAAGACACTCAGTGATCGATCGGCCAGAATCCCCACCCCATTGTCCACATCACAGGGTCCGTATTGTTCCACATTACATGACGAGGAGTACGGAATAGATCCTGCATCAAACGAATGCTGGTTTTCGTGTGGATTCATGCGCAAATAATCAAACTGGTTGTCTGACAGTGAGGTTGTCACGGCGGTCAATCGGGGCAGCGTAGTCGAATCGAAGTGAGCAATCGGAAATGTAGAGGTAGATAGATGCTCTTCGTGTGTCCGATCATCACACAGATTTGTGCTAGGCGAGTACGTGGTAATGTGTTGACGACAGTCGATCGCCGAAGTTGGAACATTCGAATCGACCGTGTTCTGAACCCCAGCCATGGCAGCAATTGCGGCTACCGCAGCTCGAGTTGCATTGTCCACGGACAAGATGAGTTGGGCTGAGGTCATTTCGTGAACACGATCGTAGTCTTGTGCGATCAGTGCATTGGGATCGGCCAAATAATCATCTGAATCTCGTTGTGACACGGGAACAAGTGAGGTAGAATTGGTAGAATTCGTTCGATCGTCCATTTTGTGTTCATTGCTGAGATCAAGATAATTCGGTTGGAAGCGAGAATAGGCGGTATCCTCTTTGTGCATTGTGCCCGAATCAAGCCGAGGGTTGCTCTGAAGAATAAACGGAATATAAGTTGTTCATTTCGGTTAAATTGTATTGCAAATGCATCTGAGGACGATGTTTTCAAGTGTTCTCTTTGCGATATTTTAATTACTACTAAGGATCCACTACTCACGATGCTTATACGTAGAAAACCACATGGCGTAGCAAATAATCTTGAGTCAAC